TCTTAAAACATGAAACCCACTCTGCATTCGGGAAAGAGACAATGTATCGAAAGCATCACAAGCTCAAGTTAGAGGCCTGCACTCCAGGTGGTTGTTTCGGAAAGGTTTAGACGCCGAAAAACTTCGATTGCTTCGAGCACGCCCATCGGATGTTTTGTCAAGCAATAGCAACTCAGCGATAGATGTCATCTGCCTGCGCAGGGGAAAGCGAGGCAACACCGAAAGGTTCATGTCTTCAGGTGTAGGGTGTATGGGGCTTAGAGGTAGAAGGCCGACATAGGGGTTCCAACAATTTGGGTTTCTCCTTTTTGGGAGGGTTCCTATTCTCCGGGAAGGAGTACTTGACACAGATGAGGGCCACCCCTAAGTGGGAAATCACACTTTCATCCCAGCGACCCTGGCCGCTGCTTCCTAGCCAAGAAAACTGTTGCTCTCCTCGACCCAGGAGTAACCTAGGAATAGAAAAGGCGCCCTTTTTGGTTTTAAGGGGGTTGCAAGGGAACTTGAACCCTACCAAAAAGGGAATAAGGGCCTACTCTGAGGCCTAGTCTTTCTCTTCCGGCAAGCCTGGATGGCAGGCGTGAAGGCCATGTAGTCTGCGACGGCTTTGCGCAAGTAGTCCCTCCGCGCCTCCTGCGGAATGTCTTTAGCAACCGAGGGTTTAGGTCCTGAGCCTTCTGCACAGATTCACTTCATACCAAAATTGCGGGCGGAAGCAAGGCTGAGGCTGCCAGGTCACTGTTGCAAGGGAGAATTTGCACTCGGGATCTTAGAGTTCTTGAAGAGGCTGAGGTGTTACGTGCATAGATGATGTCCTGGTACCAGCGGGCGCCAGGGAAACATGAGACACAGACTGAACCCTGAGCCCAGGGCTTAGGGCCCCAACCCACCCCCCGACGGGGACACAGTCATAGGGCTTGTCGCTACGCAGTTGAAAGTTAGACCGCCCTACACGCTCAACCCGCCTTGTGACTCAGCAAGCGCCCTCCAACGAATAATGAGAAGCTCACTGGCTTCGGGGTTTCAGGTCACGAAAAATGGGCATTCGCAAGCGGGAAGCCTCTGTCTCAAGCTGACTCCACTCCGACCTGCGCCCGAGATGCACTACTCATACCCCATGCCAAGTACCACATGCCCTCGCATGCTAGCACGATGCCACATCAGGCAGAAGAGCTCGCCACTCCAGGGTTTATTAGGCCCCCACTCGTTTTGGGCTTCAGGCTTCGGGTTCCTAAACCCAAACCCTAAACCCTAAACACCCTAAACCCTAATCCCTAAACCCTAAACCGTGGCTCTGCACCCCACTTCTGCATGCCGCACCAGGCCCATCTGAGGCGCCAGCAGCCAGATGATGCAGGGACGATATCCCATGGTCTGCACATGGCGCAGCTTCTGAACCTGGGAAGAGCTTTGACCCATAGGGTTTAGGGTTTAGGGTTGGGGTTTAGGGGTTAGGGTCCTGGGGATTCAGGAACGTGGAGCCTGGGGCCTCTGCTAGAAGCATCAGGGTTGAAGGTCTGATAGGATTTGGGCGTGTGGGCTTTCGGGTGCAGATGACCAAAACCCTGAACTGCCTGAACCGCTCGATTCCAGCACGGTCCACCCAGAACTCTGTGCCCTCAGCCCCAAACCCTGCCTTAACCCTACAACCAGAAAAACTGTAATAACCCTCATAACACAAAACCCTTAAACCCTTGGACGCTTAAAACCTGAGGCCCTGAAACCCTGAAACCCTTAAACCCTTAAACCCTGCAACCCTTCAACCCTTCAACCCTTCAACCCTTAAACCCTTACACCCTTAAACCCTTACACCCTTCAACCCTTAAACCCTTAAACCCTTAAACCCTTAAACCCTTAAACCCTTCAACCCTTAAACCCTTAAACCCCTAAACCCTAAACCCTAACCGAGATCCCAAAACCACCACGGCCGGAGCCGACTGAGGCTGCCGCGGCCTCACGGAACATGTAGCGGAACCTGGGCGGGGGGGTTTAGGGTTTAGGGTTTAGGGTTTGGGGTCTGGGGTTTGGGGTGTAGGGTTTAGGGTTTAGGTTTAGGGTCCTGGGGCTTTGGGGCCTCCCGGCTTGTAAGGTTTTAACTACTGTTTAGACAAACAACTGGGGACATGCACAATGAAAAAATCACACACATAATGTCTGCTTAGGGTTTAGGGCGATGTGTAGCGTTTAGCTTCCAAGGGCTTGAAGGGCAAGGCTTGCAGATGCAAAGCCTCAAACCCTAGCAAGCCTCCGAAAGTGATGCTTGAACGGGACCCTTGCCATGCATCGGGTCAACGTGACCCCTAAACACGTCAACCCTCAACCCTACTTGGAGGTTCATATGGGTAGTTATTAGTAGGGGGAAGAAGTACCCGAAGTGAGGTTCTTAGTTGCCCTACTTATAACCCCACTTCTAGATACCCATGAACCTTCAAGTAAGCACCCACTCAGGGGTCACGGCTCATGGCATCGGTTCTGGGCCATAAGGTCCTGCCAGCCCAGGTTTGGGCTTTCCAGGGCTTGGCTTTAGGGTTTCGGGTTTGGGGTTTGGGGTTTGGGGTTTAGGGTTTAGGGATGTTTAGGGTTTAGGGTGGAGTTTCGGGTTTGGGGTTTAGGGGTCTCAACCATCGCCAAAGTTACTGGTAAACAGGGTCCTGCAACTATGCGCAGGTGCCCAGACGCACGCCCCCACCATTTTGGGGCACCCTTTGAAACCCCAAATCGTAAATGGAATAGAATCCCTTTAAAGGGATCCCCAAGAACGGGTACCCCGACTTTCTTCAACCCCCATATGAAGGCTTTTCGTCCCCAACCCTAAACCCTAAACCCTAAACCCTAAACCCTAAACCCCTAGCCCCCAACCCTAAACCCTAAACCCTCCCTAAACCCTAAACCCTAAACCCTAAACCCTAAACCCTAAACCCTCAGAATCCCGAAGCCTGAACAGCCGTCGCCAGAGGCATCGGCACCCGAGTCCTGGTTGGGCTCCGCTTGTGCCGTGATGGGCACATACCACCGCAACTGCTCCTCTGACGGTTCCGCCCCCAAACCCTAAACCCTAAACCCTAAACCCCAAACCCCAAACTCCAAACCCCAAACCCCAAACCCTAAACCCTTGGGGCATGAAACTACTAACTACTTGGAGGTTCTGGGTAGCTCTAAGTGGGGGCCATAAGAACCCTAACCCTAAACCCTAAACCCTAAGTGGCCCTAAGGCTCCTTGGACTTGATGCAAATCACTGCCAGGGGCGGCGTCTCGGAGAGGGCCGCCAAGCGCTCCTCACAACTCGCAACCCGACTTTGAGTGGTTTAGGGTTTAGGGTTTAGGGTTTAGGGTTCAGGGTTTAGGGTTCAGGGTTGGCGGATGTGGGACGGGTGTCAGGCAGCCAGCCCAGAGCACGTCAGCAAACGTCGGAGCTTTTCAATCCGCCCAAGCTAATTGGCGTGTTCGTCAAGTTCTGCTCAAGGAACTGTTTTAGGGCTGTGAGGGCATGGGCTGTCATGGGGTTTAGGGCCCTTGAGGGCTTTTAGGGCATTTCGGGTGGTTTAGAATTCAGGATGCGGATCCTGTGGGAGACGTTGTGTTATGCCCAGAGGTATGAGAGTCGCCTAACACTTGGCTAACACTCTTCGAAGGACGGCGCTGGCATCTGTCACTTAGACTTTCGAGCAAGCCAGACCCGCGTCTGCTCCCTAAACCCTAAACCCTAAACCCTAAACCCTAAACCCTAAACCCTAAACTGTAACACCCAGCAGCCCGGAGGGCTGGGGGTTTGGGGATCGCAGGGACGGGCTCCTTGGCATCCGTCGACACCAGCTCCATGTGGTACACCTCAGACGTCGGAGGGCGAAAGTAGACATCCCTTAAACCCTAAACCCTAAACCCTAAACCCTAAACCCGATTGTTGTTCGTACCACTGCCGTGATTACTTGCCTCTGTTGTAACCAGATGGGCGAAGCTGCTCTAATCCTGCCCTCCCGAAAGCCCTGACACCCTAACCCCTGAACCCCAAGACCCCCAAAAATCCTGAAGCCCTAATACCTAAAACCCGAAAGCTCCAAAACCCAACCCTCACCCTAAACCCTACTTTGGAGAAGACCCTGGAAAATAGTATATACTTTTAGGTAGAAGTAGCTATGATAGGAACCCAGAACAAAACAAAAGTATTAACTCCAACACTCAGTAAACTCCCAAAAAGCTCCAACCCTAAACCCTAAACCCTAAACCCTAAACCCTAAACCCTAAACTCCCCAAAAAGCTCTCCGAAAGCATCGCCTGCCCCGGCTCGCAGAACTGCAAGTTGAGGTTCTCCATCTCGGCCGTCTGCCTGACACTCCGGGAGAGCTTTTTTCTGGGATAGAAGGCTCAGGGTTGAGGGTTCAGGGTGTGGGGTTTAGGGTGTAGGGTTTAGGGGGGTTCAATTAAGGTTCAGGGTTCAGGTGAGTTCTTAGAGTCTCAGAACCCATGCGCAGCTTCCCTGCTGGCAATGGCTGGCATCTCGAAATCGCCAGCCGCTGCGTGCTGGTAAGCTGCTGATGTCCTTTGACCCCTTTCTACGTGCCCAAGCTCCGGTTCTGCAACTTTTCAAAGATTGAAGGGATCATATTTCCGCTGGCCGAATCGGTATACAGGCCGCTTCAGGCCTTCGGTCAGGAGCCCGACAGAACAAGTGCAGTTTGGCAGCCCCAATGATGCAAGAACGCAGGAGCTCCCTCAACAGGCACGGCCTCAGCGTCTTGCTGACGGGAGACTGCAAAAACCTCGGCCAGAGACTTGTTGAACATCCCACAGAAGCAACACGCGTGCAGAGACGGCGCAGAATAGCAGTGCCAGCGCTCAGGTGGCTTAGAAGGAAAGACCAAGCTGCGAGTAGCCGGTTTGCGCACAAGCAGCTGCACTTACAAGGTACCCATGGAGTTGCTGGCATGGTCGCAAACATTGCCTGACACATGAGCTTATCTAACTCAACTAGGTATGCTACTAGGCAGCTTATATTGCACTTATGTAGTCTTGTAGAGGGCTGATGAGATGATTATGCTCCTAAGTTGTGACAACATCTGAGCTTTGAAGAGCCTTCGACGTCTCTAAATCCCATAGCTGGGGGGGGAAGCAAAAAAACGAAACTCAAGCGCAGACCCCCGCACCCAAAGCTCAAAACCCCAAGCTCGAAACCCCAAACCCCAAACCCTAAACCCCAAACTCCAAACCCCCAACCCTAAACCCCAAACTCTAGACTCCAAACCCTAAAGCTCTGCACCACCTTCCGCCCTAAACCCTAAACCCTATACCCTAAAGCTCTGCACCACCTTCCGCCTCATGGTCTTCAGCTGCCTCCGTCGGGCGGACTGTCCTAGGTGCCGGGCGCTGCACGCTCAAGGTCCCGCCTCTGATACCACTTCTGGGAGGTGTGTACCTGACACTGGACTTCTCAGGGTTTGGGGTTTAGGCTTAGGGTTTAGGGTTTAGGGTTTAGGGTTTGGGGTTTGGCGTTTGGCGTTTGGCGTTTGGCGTTTGGCGTTTGGCGTTTAGGGTTTAGGGTTTAGGGTTTAGGGTTTAGGGTTTAGGGTTTAGGGTTTAGGGTTTAGGGTTTAGGGTTTAGGGTTTAGGGTTTAGGGTTTAGGGTTTAGGGGTTAGGGTTTCGGGGTTAGGGTTTAGGGTTTAGGGTTTAGGGTTTAGGGTTTAGGGTTTAGGGTTTAGGGTTTAGGGTTTAGGGTTTAGGGTTTAGGGTTTAGGGTTTAGGGTTTAGGGTTTAGGGGCCCGAGCCTTTTTCAAACCTGAAAGCCCTGACCCTATCAAGCCTTGACCTTGAGAACCTTACACCCCAAAGCCTAATCCGAGGTTTGGGGTTGAGGGATAAGGCAAACGGCAACAATGAACCTTGAACCTACACTGTTCCTGCCCCTGCTTCAGGGACCCATCGTGCCTGAAAGAAGGATCTCATGCCTCGGCGCATGGCACGAGTAGGACAAGAGGCAGTTCGTACAAACATGGAGAGCTGGGCTTGGGATCCTAATACCACCACAGGAGGAGTCGAGAAAAGAATGCTGCAGGCATGGCCCTGGGGCATTTTCAGGGGTGCAGTAGAATTTCAGTTCTGAGGTTTGGGATTCAGGTTGGACCATGAGACCTCCAACCTAGGGCTAAGGAAACTTCTCAACCCGGTGGAAAACCCTCTGTTAGACCTTCTTAGATTCTCCAGCTTCTAGGAACCAGTTGTAGGCTTGACTAAGATGGCTGCTTGTGAATCTGCGCGAAGGTAAGATTACGGTAAGATCAAACTTCATTGCTTATCTTCGGCACAGATCTTTACAATCAGGAGCTCCGAGAGGGTGACTTCCGAACCCCTGAACTCTAACTAAACCCCAGCCTCTGAACTCGACATGGTGCCCCCCCCCCCCCCCAGTGGCCGAAAAAATTCCCCAGCCTCAACCCGAAACCCGACATGCCCCTACATCCTGCAAACCCCTTAAACCCTAAACCCGAAACCCTAAACCCCCAACCCTAAACCCCAAACCCCAAACCCCAAACCCTAAACCCCAAACCTCAAACCCCTAAACCCCCTCTGTACCTCTGAGCCCCCCCCCCCCCCCAAAAAAAAAAAAAAACCGGAGCCCCGGGCCTGCATCTTCGGTGAGCCAGTGCTTCAGCGCCGCTGGGCCGTCGAAGACGGTGCAGAGGTGGATGTTGAACCTGTTTAGGGCTTTGGGTTTAGGGTTTAGGGTTTAGGTTTGTAGGGCCTTTAGGGTTCAGGGGCTTTTTGGGGGGTTTATGGGGTTTTAGGGTTCAGGGGCTTGGGGGTATTGGGCCTTCCAGGGTTACAGTAGTTGTAACATCCCTATCCCCATAAAAGGTATACTAAAGGGAAATTCAGTTCCAGTCATCCTTAAACCATGTTCCAACTTTCTGGAGTTTGCTGTAGGGTTTAGGGCCTTTAGGGGTCCCATGGGGGCTTTAGGGGTTTTAGGGTTCAGGGGTTTAGGGGTCTTGGGGTTTTAGGGTCTTCATAGTGGGCATGAGGAGCCTCGAAAACTGAAACTCTGAAGCCTTTGGCTTAAGACCGGCGGTTATGCCAACGTTAAGCTGGGGCCCGACTTCCGTCCTAACACCTTGACCCTATACCCTAAACTTCCCGAAAGCCCGCAGCCCAAACCCCCAAAGCCTTAAGCAAACCCACTTCGAGGCCCTTTAGGGTTTAGGGTGTTTGCTGGGGTGGAGAGCTTAGGGTTTGGCAAGCGCAAGCCCTAAACAACGAACCCCAAACTCTAAATGCACATGCAGGGGCTTCGTGGGGAGATCTGGGATCTAGGTGCTCCCCGACCTCCGGCCGCCCGAGAGCCCCAGACCCTTAAAGGTCCCTACCACATCTAGGACAAGGCCCTTAAGGAAGCGAAAGGCTTAGGGTCTAGTGTATGCCTTAACTACTTGCAGGTTCATGGGTAGTTATAAGTAGGGTTATAAGTACCCTAAATAAGGTTCTTTATGAGAGTCACCCCACTTAGAACCCTACTCATAACTACCCATGAACTTGCAAGTAAGCATGCTAATTTCACGGTGGTTTCATAACGACACAAGTCGGGGCAAGCACGCATTCACCAGATCGTTCGTGGACAACGCCGACAGCGCGGCGTCGCCGGACCTGCGTCTGCACTACGGTTCAGGGTTCGGGGTTCAGGGTTCAGGGTTTAGGGTTCAGGGTTCAGGGTTCAGGGTTCAGGGTTCAGGGTTTACGGTTTAGGGTTTCTGGGGTCACAGCAGACAGTTGTTGGGCGGGTGTTCTGAGGTATAGTATAGGGGTCCTCTTATAGCTGGCTTCTGTGCCGCAATATCATACAGGACAGCCCCCACGTTCAAGGCATCATCAGCCTTAAACCCTAAACCCTAAACCCTAAACCCTAAACCCTAAACCCTAAACCCTAAACCCTAAACCCTAAACCCCAAACCCCAAACCCCAAACCCTAAACCCTAAACCCTAAACCCTAAACCCTAAACCCTAAACCCTAAACCCTAAACCCTAAACCCTAAACCCTAACCCTTTGGTAGCCTACTCCTCAAGATTCGAGAACGACCGAGGCCGCAGCTTCGAGCAAACCTCGGCGCAGACCTCCTGGCAGGGGGCTTGGGGGGGTTTTGGGTTTAGGGTTTAGGGTTTAGGGTTTAGGGTCTAGGGTCTAGGGTTTAAGCTTAAAGGTTTAGGGTTAAAAGCTTAAAGGGGTCTTGTGTTGTAAGGGAGCCTCGCTGTTGGGGTTTAGGGTTAAGTGTTGAAGGCTCAGAGCCTCTTGAGATCCAGACTTTTTTTCTGCCCAAAGAGTGCTGAGACTTGCGGGATTCGTACGTCGCGCGCGCACGCACACGTATCCGGCGCTCCCGTCCAGTGCCCAACCCACTTCCGCATACTCCCGCCTAGGTCCAGGTCCGGTGCACTTCTTGGGCTTCCCTCGTTCCAGAATATATATATATATATATATATATATATATATATATATGCTATATATATATATATATATTTGTGTTGTATAATATAGTGTATTATATAATGCATGATATTATGCATAATTAATGTAATGTATAATAGAATGCATATAATATTTCTTTGCATCCCTTCTACGGGGACTTGTGTTGTGGTGTTTTGCAAATGTCGACGTGCTCGCGCCTCGGTCCCGTGCACTCCTGGAGCGCAGGCTGTCCCTTTCTTCCTTTGGGGGTGCCCTTTTTGGGGGGTGCTCTTTGGGGGGTGCTCCTTGGGAGTGGTTTTGGCATGCATTCGGGGGTTCATCTTGGAGCGGGTGCCCTTGGCATGGAGTGGTCTTGGAGCGGTGCCATGTTCATGGAATGCTCGAGTGGTCTTGCACTCTTTGGGGCCTGCGCGGGCCAGTAGGCTTTCTACGTGGGAAGGGGCTTTATTACCCAAACAAAGCGCATCGTTTGCCGAGCGAGTCCCAGCGAAAGGCGTGAGACGGGTTTTCAGTCACTCAGTCACTCTCAGACCTCAGGTGGAATTCCAAGCGGCAAGGGGGTGATTGGGCGGTTGTTCTTAAAGCCTGAACTGTGGTCCTTGAACTCCGGCGGGAAGTGCGAGGAGCGGGCCAGCACGGACAGCATTGCCAGCTTCTGCCTTACAATGTCAGGGAGACGTTGCTAGAGGAACGAAAGCACTTGTCGTCTGTGAGTCTGTGGTTAACATGACACGCAACAAGCTCCCTTTTTCGTGTCATGCGAAGGCATCTGCTCATTCTGTACAGCTGTACAGGGAGGAAACACACGCAGCAGTGACACGCTGATGTCGACCTTCGGTCTAGCACGTAGCCTATGAAAAACGTTGTCGGATCCACAGGCGCTAGCTTTACATCAAAAGATTAAGAGCACGCGACTACGCTTCAGCAATCGCAAATCCAGGTGCCAATGCCCGCAATTCCTTTGAAGGAAGCTTTGCCACAGGAGCAGTCTGGGTGGATGTCACATGTGTCGAAGTCCGTGTTCGAATCAACGTACTGTCCATCCGTGCAGTACCAACCAACACCACAGGTATTTGCTGCGTTGCGGCTGTAACCGGCATTGGAGCATCCCTTGTGAATGAAGCAAGCGTCAGTGCCAGGCAAACCACCTCCGTTGCCACATGATTGGCCATGGCTGTCGCTGCAATCACAAATCCAGGTACCAACGCCACCAATTCCTTTGAAGGAAGCTTTGCCACAGGAGCAGTCTGGGTGGATGTCACATGTGTCGAAGACTGTGGTCGAGTCAACGTACTGTCCATCTGTGCAGTACCAACCAACACCACAGGTATTTGCTGCGTCCCGGCTGTAGCCGGCATTGGAGCATCCCTTGTGAATGAAGCAAGCATCAGTGCCAGGCAAACCACCACCATTGCCACACCAAGCACCAATTTGTGACCCCAGCAGGAGCGTCGAGGAGTTCGAGCCACGCAAGGCATTGCCCGCAAAGGCAATTTGCGGAAGGAACATGACGACGAGCAAAGCAGTCATGGCAGCGTCTGGAGACTGGGCGGAGCTTGTGCACTGAGCTTCTAGGGCGAGGAATGCTGCGGGCGGTTGGAAGACACGATGTATCATCATTCCCCCTGTCAGAGTACGTGGCCACGGATCAATTACCCAAAGGCCGCCTGTCGGCAACCAGCTCCGAAGACAGTTTCAAGACAGCTCTTGAATCTGAAAGGACGGTTCAGATTCAGTTCTAGCGAAGGCTACAAAACAAACTTGGCGGGCGCAGCAGAGCACCAGTTCTCCAAACAACACTAATAGAGCAGCAAACTCTGGACTTTATGACATGCTTTGCGTGTAGGGTGCACGTTCAACACCTAGAGACCTCAAGGATTCCTTGTACCTGACGCAGATGTTTGCTGCTCGAAACCATCATCCACATTGTGTTCGAAAGCCTTTCGAGGAGGCGAAACCCTAAACCCTAAAAACCCTGGAGCCTACACTGCAGCTCCCACGGCCTCGACGTTGCGTTTGGGTTTGTCAAGTTGTCCGCCACCACGCCTCCGAGCAGGTCTGCACAACCAGGGTTCAGGTGCAGTGTCTGGTGGATTCGAGGATTGAAGAATCCGGGGGGTGTGGACAGTGTAGAACTTAGAGATTAGATTGGAGCTTCTGAACCCTGAAGGATGTGCGCGTCAACAGAGGCATTCAAGCTGTGTCCCCCCTAGCACTTCGAGCAACTTTCGAGCATACTCAGTGCCACGAAGCACCCACAGAAAAGGTTTGCTAAAAACCTCCCTCCACCCTCCCCTCCTCTTGGATTCGTGGTGTTTTCGACTCAATATGCGTATATAAATCATGAATTTTGTATATATACATATGAGTATCTATTCATACTTATATGTATTTATTTATTTAGTTATTCTTTGATGTGTGTTTACATCTATATTCAGAAAAGGACACAAAGTTTTTGCATTAAAGTATTGAGGGAATAAACATTTTTCCCCACCTGAATTCAACGAGTTCAAGAGAAGGGGAGCCTAAACCCTACCCTACACCCTAAACCCTAAACCCTACACCCTAAACCCAAAACCCTAAACCCCTAAGGCCTAAGGTGGAGCTCTGTTCGTGAGGCCCTCACTTAGGGCTTAGGGCTTAGGGCTTAGGGCTTAGGGCTTAGGGCTTAGGGCTTAGGGCTTAGGGCTTAGGGCTTAGGGCTTAGGGCTTAGGGCTTAGGGCTTAGGGCTTAGGGCTTAGGGCTTAGGGTTTAGGGGTTAGTGTTTAGGGTTTCGGGTTTCGGGTTTAGGGTTTAGGGTTTGAGGTTTGAGGGTTCAGGGTTCAGGGTTTAGGGTTTTAGGGTTTAGGGTTTTAGGGTTTAGGGTTTAGGGATTAGGGTTCAGGGTTTAGGGTTGAGGTTTTAGGGGGCTTAGGTGACGACAGATTGGGATGTTCCCCCTTGTACGAACAGCCTCAATACGGATTGTAGTACCCCCCCCCCCCGTTGTTGTTTCCCCTATTAAGGACTGCTAGTATAAGGGGGAGCATTCCAAACTATAGGCCCTAAACCTCAAAGCTCTGCGCGCCCGGCCCGGCCGAGCGGGGCGACGTGCATGTTCAGAAAATTTGGGATCCCAAAGTGAAAATACCCTTTCAGAGGCCCTAATTCCCTATAGGGGCCTTAATGGTTAGAACAGGGTTTTGGGGGTTATTGGAGTATAGTTACATGGGGACCATAAGGGAACAATATTTGTAATTCTTCCGACTCTATATGGGCATTAAACCCTAAACCCTAAACCCTAAACCCTAAACCCTAAACCCTAAACCCTAAACCCTAAACCCTAAACCCTAAACCCTAAACCCTAAACCCTAAGCCGCCTTGCAGCTCCATGGACTGGAACGAGAGCTCAAGGAGCTGCTCTGCCTCAGGCAACGGAGCTTGGGGCTTCGGGCTTTTTGGGGTTTCGGGTTTGGGGTTTAGGGTTTAGGGTTTAGGGTCTAGGGTTTAGGGTCTAGGGTCTAGGGTTCTCAAGCGGTTGCTAGCACGTTGCAGCAAGCCCAATGTCAGAGCTGTCAGTAGCTGTCCCCCATCATCTCTTGTGCTGCCAAGCAATGTCAAGAAATTGGTTGGGTGCACTGGCCCTCAACACACTTCGTGGAAGCTTTGCCTCCCACCTTCGTCTCTGTAGACTAATCTTCATTCGAAATCACGAACCCCATTCCCTAAATCTAAAACCTGAAGCTCTAAGCGCCAAAGCCTAGACGCTCCGGACTTCTAAGATAGTGAAACAAGTTGTCTTCTGAAACGACACATCACAAGCATAAACCCCTAACATCTTGTATGAGCCTGTCTCTGCAACAGTTACGCAAAAACGCAAGCGCCCCCCATGTCCCAAGGACTTATCGTCACGCAGACCAAACACCAACAACAAATCCCAGAAGAGTTGGAAGGAAGCCTCTTCCCAACGACAAATCGCAAGCACCGTCCTGCTAAGTGGTGATTTGGTATTCACATATTTCACGCACCCTAAGACTTTGAATCAAATCCTGTTCCCAAGCGACACAGACAAAGCACCATCCCCTATGTTCTTTGGAATGAAGCGCCTCTTGCCAACGACAAGTCGCAAACACCGTGGCCCCAACTGGTTTGGATGACAAATCTTCGTCCAAGCGACCAATAGCAAGCACAGTCTCCCTAAGTAGGTTTAGGGCGTTTGGGGCTTAGGGCTCAGGGCTCAGGGTTTAGGATTGATTCTCTTCCGGCTCGATCCCTTCCCAAGCCTTAAAGCCCTAAACCCGTAAAACTACAAACCCCAAAGCCCTGACCCTAAACCCTAAACCCTAAGCCCTAAGCCCTAACACCCTAAACCCTAAACCCAAGACCCGAAACCCTAAACCCTAAACCCTAAACCTTAAACCCCCTGAAGCACAAGAATCTCTGGGGGCCCCAAGCCAGCTCCAGCAGCTCATCGAGCTTGGTGGCGTCCAGTGGCTTCGTCCTCGGGTTTAGGGTTTAGGGTTTAGGGTTCTGGGTTTAGGGTTTAGGGTTTAGGGCTGAGGGTTGAGGGTTGAGGGTTGAGGATTTAGGGTTTCGGGTTTAGGGTTTAGGGTTTAGGGTTGAGGGTTTAGGGTTCAGGGTTTAGGGTTTTCAGATTCAGGGTTTAAGGACCAAGGTAGCCGCACGAAACGGCGAGAGGCTTGGCTTACCCTTGGATTGTACCGGGGTTAAGCTAGCCCCAAGAAGGCCAACATTTCCTACTCGGCTACTCAGGTGGCCTTTAGGGCTTCGGATGTAGCGTTCTTTTGTCAACGCTTGGGATGCGAGGGCGTCGCCACCCGAATCACTAGGCACCGGTCCACAAGTAGACGTAGCACCAGCAGTACATGGACACCACCTGCGCAGAGCAAGCTCAGATGCCTTCTGCCGATCTGTTGGGTTCAGGGAGTTGGGCCATCGTCTGTGTCTGGAGCGAAGGGGTGGCTGAGCAGGGTTGAAGATTCTATCACATAAAGCCCCCAGTACGGACCCTAAACGGTGACACGACAATTACGGGTCGTTGGCCCCTCGTTGCCCCGCCCCGGTCCCCGCAAAAAATTGATGTCTCTGGGGACGTGCCCGGAAGAAGGCTGCACAATTAACGAGCAGCAATCAAAAATGAATGCCAGTCGGTGCTTTCACAAGTCCCGCGCTTTTTTCTCCTTGCAGGACATGCTGCGCCCACTTGGCCAGGGCTTCTTCGCCCAAGGGCTTTGTCGGCGGATACTTTGGCAGCCTGGGTGGGATGTTCGCGTAGAAGGCCACAAACCCCCCCCCCCCCCGAAGAGTTTAAGGGGTGCAGGGGTGAAATGGATTCACTCAACATCTCACTAACACCCCCCCCCCCCCCCCCCTGCCATGGTACGGTAAGGGTTGTCCTCGAAACTGTGTATCGCACGTGTCCCCTTCCGAAGCTTAGGTGGGTTCAGGGTTCAGGGTTCAAGGGTTCAAGGGTGCAAGGGTTTAGGGTTTCGGGTTTGGGGCTTGGGGTTTGGGGTTTTCTTGTTTAGGGTCTAGGATTTTCTTGCAGGCCAGCAGCATTGAGTCTGAATTCGCTGGGCCCCGCTCTGGATGGCCATCGGATTCCGCCTCTCAACGCGGAGCCATGGAATTCGGGCTTCGGGTTTTTGGGGTTTGGGGTTTAGGGTTTAGGGTTTAGAGTTTAGGGTTTAGGGTTTAGGGTTTTTAGGGCTTAAACCTTCAGGGGTTTTAGATTTTTTTTGGGGGGATGTACTTCCCTATAAACCCCTAGAGATGTATCCCCAGCCATCTCACTTCTATCTACGTTTTCGCATGCTGTTCCCCTAAATCAGAATGCCTCATAGACACAAAGTGCCCACAAAAGGAGCCCCAATTTGAATACGTAGTCCCCGAACATGGATTGGATGCCGAAGGTTCGGTTTCAGGGAAAGCCCGCAACCTAAACCCCAAACCCTAAACCCTAAACCCTAAAGCCTAAACCCTAAACCCTAAACCCCAAACCCGAAACCCCAAACCCACACTTGAGGCATTTTATGCCTTGGGGTGTCTAGGGCGCCTCCTCCGACCGCTCCGGAGTTTCCACCACCTCCTCCTGCTTTGGTGTGCCCTCGGATGGCTGCGCACGCTGCGCCTCACAACAGGTCGCGTGGTTTCGGGTTTAGGGCTAAGGGTTTAGGGTTTAGTGCTCAGGGCTTAGGGCTTAGGGCTTAGGGCTTAGGGTTTAGGGTTTAGGGTTTAGGGATCAGGGATTAGGGCTTAGGATGTAGGGTGTTCTCTTACACCTTGGTTGTGCCTTGATGCGCTTCATCCTGCCAAAGCTTTGCGCCGCCACGAGCCGCGCAGCTGGCTCCCTCCCCCCCCGCCTTCTCCGCTTTGCGGCGCAGGGCGTCGCGCAGCTGCGCCTGCGGGGTGTAGGGTGTAGGGTGTAGGGCGTAGGGTTTAGGGTTTAGGGTTTAGGGTTTAGGGTTTAGGGTTATAGGGTTTAGGGTTATAGGGTGTTGGGCTTAGGGTTTAGGGTTGAGGGTTGAGGGTTGAGGGTTTAAGGTTTAGGGTGTTCCCGGCAGCAGCATCGAGTGGGGCTGGCTGTTTTGGGTACTCTCTTTTGTTGCGTTTTGGCCGGGGAGGGGCGGGGCAGGGTTCTGGTACCAGTAGAGATTGCGATTTAGGCATAAGTTGGTACTTCTGCAGCTCCCAATCACGAACAGACTAGGGTTTAGGATGTAGGGTTTACCCCGCCAGAACCTTGCACACAAACCCTATGAACCAAACCCGTGCGCGCAAACTCGACCGGGAGCCAAGGTCAGATTTTCTGATCTGCTTCCCCGACTCTGACCCCCCCCTCAAATCCCCATCGCTCAGCCCAACAAGTCAGGACCCCTTCCCGTGCACAAAACATCAGAAACAGCCCTTGCGGCAAGGAGGCCCGCGAAAACTCTGCAAAACAAAAAAACCCTTACAACCGAAAAGGCGCAACGTCCGCGAAAATCTCTAAAGGCAAAGGCCTCAACGAGAAATAAGCCCAAATATCGCTGAAGAACCTACATGGCCCCAAACTGGCCCCAACTAAACTAACCTAGGCAGCCCCAATCAAGAAACCATGAGAAAGACAGCAACGAAGTCTACACCTTAAGGCCCTTTTTACTACAGGGCAGAAGCCGAATAAAACCCACAAACCCTAGCTTTTGTGATTCCTTGTGGATATAGGCACTGACATCTCAATCTGGGATGGCCCTTGAAACCCCTTGAATAAGCCCCCTGAAAAATAGGTTGAGGGTTTAGGGCTTAGGGTTTAGGGTTCAGGATTTAGGGATTAGGGTTTAGGGTTCCTGAATATGATCCTCTTAAACCCAGTTCGGGAAAATATCACATGTCCCAACGGCCTACCTAGTAACGTTAGTGTTTGCGATCGGCAAGGCGAACAAACTCGGAATTGCAGCTTTCCTTGAACAAGAAAAACACCTAAACCCTGAACCCTACACCCTGAACCCTACACCCTAAACCCTAAACCCTAAACCCTAAACCCTATTCCGCCACTTCAACGAGACGTTGATTGCACAGACCCAGCGCCGGCGCCTCCAAGGCCTGGGTGGCCGCCTCGGCGTCCTGAGGCCCCAGAAATTGGCTTAGGGGGTTTAGGGTTTAGGGTTTAGGGTTTAGGGTTTAGGGTTTAGGGTTTAGGGTTTAGGGTTTGGGGTTTAGGGCTTTAGGGGTTTAGGGGTTAGGGGTTAGGGTTAGGGGTTAGGGGTTTGGGCTTAGGAGTTTAGGGTTTAGGGGTTTTTGGGGTATAGGGGTTTTTGGGGTCCAGGGTTTAGGGTTTAGGGGTTTGGGGCTAGGGGTTTAGAGTTTTGTGAAACTTTGTGGGGTTTTGGTAGAGGGGGCGGGGGGGTTGGTAGAATATTTGGAGGTTCTCGACCCTGACACCCAAATGAAGGCCCCTCTGCGAGAAGCTAAAGCCCCAAACCCTCAACCCTAAACCTACAACCCTAAACCTCTAAACTAAAACCCTAAGTCAAAACCCTAAGCCCTAAACCTACAACCGTCAATCCTCACCTCGAAACTCTCAACCCTCAACCCCGAGCCTTCAGCTGTGACTCCAGGTCCTTCCCCCTCCTGTCTGGATCCAGGGGTGCCAGATGTAGATATACATAGAGATTAGACAGACAGACAGACAGACAGGCAGGCAGGCAGGCAGGCAGGCAGACAGACAGACAGATTGACATATTTATATATGTCTGTATATAGTATGCCATCTGTAGAATATATATATATATATATAGATAGATAATTATTTATTCATTTATATATATAATCATTTATTTATTTATTTATTCATTTATTTTTTATTGTATTTTTTAATTCTACTTATATTTCTATTTATAATTATATTATATTTATATACACTTGGGTCGGCTGCGGGGTCCAGGGTTCTAAGGGCTTAGGGGTTTTAAGGGCTTGAGGGTTTTCAACGTTCTTTGAAGATGCAGGGATCCGGGCTTAAAGGTGTAGAAGCCCTAAACACGTTTGGGTTTAGGGTTTAGGGTTTAGGGTTTAGGGTTTAGGGTTTAGGGTTTAGGGTTTAGGGTTTAGGGTTTAGGGTTTAGGGTTTAGGGCTTAAGGTTTAGGGTTTAGGGTTTTGGGTTCAGGGTTCAGGGTTCAGGGTTCAGGGTTCAGGGTTCAGGGTTCAGGGTTCAAGCCATAACCACGCCTCAAGAAGCCCCGAAGCCACGCAGAGCCGTTCAGGTCAACCCTCAAACCCCAACAAGAAACCTATTGCAATGCCTCCACGCAGGCCACCATAACCCCGAGCAGGCTGTTTGGGGGGCACAAGTCATCATAAGGACCACGCAAGCCGTTCGGGCTCACTTGTCTAACCCGACAAGCCCCCAAAACGCTCGGAATCACTCAGAGCATCATCCGCGACGCGCAGGCCTCGAATCCCAGCTGCACGTCCGCGGCAAGCCGGCTTTTCGCACCTTTCCGCAAGGCTTGTCATGGGACTCTACCTTGGACCTTTAAGGTGGTACCCTTGGATTGGGGGGACCCGCCTTTAAAGATCCTCTAAGGGAATATAAGGGCCCTAGTAGGAGTATATTAAGGGAGCCTACATCCTTAGGGGTCCGAGTATGACTCCCCTGCGCTTGGGGCTTGGGAGGGTCAACCCTAAGGCCGAAGCCCTGGCCGAAGGGAACTAGAGCACTGAAGCCCTAAACCACCCAAAAGCGAGTCTCGGCCCTCCTTTGCCCAGAGAAGCCCTGGAACCCCAAAGCCCCTAAAAACCAGTCCTAGGACCCTGATCACTGACCCCCAAAAAACCCGCCAATCCTAAACCCTGAATCCTCAACTCTGAATACAGCTTCCGCAAGCCATAGGCCGCCATAAAACCCACAATGAAACCTATAACAAATCATGCAACCTATACTTCCTGCAAGACCTGCAATTTAAGCCCTCAACAGCAAAACCCCAAAACCCGTAAAACCCTAACCCGAGAACCCTAATCCCAAGCTTCCCGCAGCGAGCCGAGAACTTACACACTAAGACCCTCAAGCCTTCAAACCTAACCAATCAACAAAAACATTTTAAAAAAATCAAACCTAAAATAAGACCCAGACCCTAAAACGCCCTTAAAACTTTGAAAGGCCCTAAAGGCCCTAAAACCCTAAAGACCCTGAAAAGCCCTAACGACCCTACAGTTCCTAAAGGCCCCTAAAGACCCTAAAAGAAACCAAAAGACCCGACCCTAAAAGACCCCAAAAGACCCTAAAGTCCTCTAAAGACCCTAAACGCACTACAGACCCTAAAAGCTGCCCCAAAAGCACCAAAGGGACTCCAAAACACCCTAAAAGCCCTGAAAACCCACAGACCCGTCCCCCCCCGCCCCCGCCCCCCCCCCCGCCCAAGTCTTCCCGAAGCGGCCTGGCCTGCGACCTCGGAAGTTCCGAAGCGGAGGCAGACCTCCCACGACTATTTCTGCCTTAAGGGTCCTGAAAATCCCTACATATGGGTTTTGGGTTTAGGTTTTAGGGTTTAGGGTTTAGGCTTTAAGATAACTACTAATTGCTGTAGATTCCTTGAAGAAATACAAAATGGTCTTCCCTATAAAAGGTAATATAGGGATTATTACAGAGTTGTTTTTGTTGGAGGGGGGTTGCTAAGCAAATCGTAGTCCAGAGGAGGCTCTTTCTGGAGGTTTTAGGGCTCTCTCGAGTGTTTAGGATGTTTAGGGCTTAGGGCGTTTTAGGCTGTTGTAAGGTGCTTGGGGTGTTTGGGGTCTTGGTGTTCTGGGGTTTCGAGGTGTTAGGGTTTAAGGGTTTGGGGGGGTTAAGTTGCGTTGGGCGCTTCGGGGCCTAGGGATTCTAAGGCTTTAGGAGCTTCGGGCCTTCTTAAGGGTTTTGCGCTTGTGGAAGGCGCAGGGCTTGAGGTTGTATGAGGTAAGGATTCAGGCCTCAGAGCCTGTGGGCTTCAGGGGGTTATACAAGGTTTTAGGGCCGCGGCTTCGGGTTCAGGGGTTTTGGCCTATGCTTGATGAAAGCGCCGGCGGGCCGCGGATGTCGGTAGGACAGAAAATGGGCTCGTGAAGCTCAGGATAGCCGAAGGAATACCAGAGAGCCCAATACCCCTTCATTAACGAATACACCGTAATGACCGTAATATACCTTAAGTTCTAAAGGGATCATTATTATGATTTGAGGAATATTCCTTCAGCACGGAGAATAATCCTTTCTGTCTAAGCAAATGGATCTTGCATTGCAGTTGCCCGGCAGTTTTTCGCCTTAATTCGCGGCACACAGAAGATGTGCGTGATTGCTTTTGCTTCAAGTGCGCAAGAGCCGCACTTTGCATGACTGCTGCGTCAAAAGAACATAGCACAACTCAAAAAACCCCAAACCAAACGAAAGCAAGCAAAAATATTTTAAAAAAAAAAAAACATAGAAATAAGTAAACAGATGGTTTTGTTATATTGCAAATAAAAAACGATTTTTAACATATATATGTACAGAAAAACTATACTCATTATAAGATGAGGATGACAGATATAACAACAGCTAAAAGATTAAATATTGATTGTAGTATATGCTACGAAAATACATCTTATTTTATGCAATTTACTAATTATAAAACTTTACATATGCCCATATGTATTTCAGAAACATGCCCATGCAATAATAACTGTGATATATGATCTGCACAGGGTAATGACATTATATTGCCAGATGAGTTCATATCAAAAAAGAAATATTTTTCATTTGGTAAAGCTGATTATATAAGAAGAATTAGTAAAAAGTGAGGAAAATTTTAAGGTGTCAAAAACACGACTTTTAAATGAATATAACATAACATTGGATGACTTATTATACCATGATACAATATTAACAAAACAACATTTTGAGTCTATAGTTTGTAACCATTAAAAATATATAAAAGCATTTTCACTTAATAATATTCTAGTTTATTTTTAACTTATAGTATATCATGCTTGTTCTTGTTATTACATACGACCTAGACAATTTGATAAAGCAAAAAATGATTTAAAAAGAAATATATATATATACAGTGTTTGAGAACTGTTGGAAGAGTTGAACATAGTTAAAATGATGTCCATCACGTTGTTGGAAACGGTCATGACCGTTTAGTTGAAGTTGTCAGAACCATCCAAGAAATTTCCATAATTATGATCATTAACAACTGACAACACAGCACTAACACAGCAGCATTATGTAAAACTTCATTCAATGGAGACCGTTCTGTAGGAGTATCTAATTAAATAAGAAATGTCTTCCATTGCCAACTCATTACGAGTAACAACGTGGTTAGCAAAAGTTTGACGAATAAATTCTTCACCATCTTGATCGGTTTCGTAACCAGTTGCAATAAGAGCATTTGTATCAGAAACAGCAG